TTTTACCATATCATATTCTGATTTATATGCTTGTATATGCATCATAAATGGGTTATGGTAGACCCTTTGACCATTAAAATGCAAAGGAAACCTGATAAGATTTATTATATTGTATTGAACTGAATCAAATGTGACTGTAAATGAATATAAACCAAAGAACTTATCCTGAAATTTTTATTACCTAATAGGAGAAATGTTTTCTCCATTGTTTTTTTTTTCATTTGTATCCTAACATTAATATTAATGTATTCTATTTAAGAAGAAAAAAGTTCTTGATCTTTGTTTTATATGTCTTGTTATTATTGCTTAGAGAGTTTAGAAGGATTATACCAACCTTTGTACTGAGCCTAAATTATCAGCATTTTCTACAGTCATTTTCTGCCACACAATTGAAACTTACCAGCATGCTAGCCACTCGCTCCTTTAATGTTTCTTTAATGAACCTTGCATTCCTCTGTGGCCAAACTAGGAATGCTAATTTTGATTTGATAAAATGAGTTTATAAATTTACTAATTGAACACTAGCAATTGTGCCCAATGCTTGAGAATATCTGTAAACATTGCACTCTTCCTGCTAGGCTACCCCCATTTTGCTCCATTCGTGTCACTCTTTGTTTGTATCTGATGCTATCAGCACTCAATTTCTAACTGTTGTCACCTTTTCCACATGTTCATTCCTTGCTGCCATTGATTCTCCTCCATTCCATCTCTACACTTCTGCTTATGTGGTTCATCTACACCCCAGCCTCCTAAAAAGGCTCTGGATTATGTTCAAGATCATTCTTCTGGTGTTTCCAATGAGGTAAAAGGAAATTATTCTCTCTTTTTCAGATTTCTCCCTTAGAGGCTGTTACTGTGATTCGGAACACCCATGTTTTACAATTCACTGTAGTRCCTAAGCCAGTTTTGAAAAACCTATCTTTGTATCATTGTGCTGTATCTAGGATCATTGCCTAGACATTAATTATACTACAGACATTGGCTATTTCTAATTTCTACATGAAGAATCATTCCAGTCATAACTATCAGTTGAGCTATTCAGCGCAGCCTTGGTATTCAGCAGCATGAAAATAAAAAATCAAAATCATTGTCATATTAGTGCATATATTAACCACTGTTTTTCTTAGCCTGTGGAAAATAGAATTAGCAAACTTCTCAGAGCCACTTCATCATCATGCTTACAGAATTTAGATTCTTAAGTTATCAGAAGCCTATGTACCACATTTGCCTAAAATTTATTTTTTGATTCCTTCATTTTCTTAAATACTCAAAACTTATGGATTTTAGTATCAGTCAAGAATAGGGATGGCAAACATATGTTATGTGGGTTATAACTTACCAGTTTTATACCCTTGACAGACACCACTAATTCTCTCAACGCTATAATCCAGGCAGACACAGATCATCCCAGGCACATAGATGAAATTGACTTGAAATATCTATTAAGAACACTTACGACAGTCAACTAGATGAAAAATTTAGGCCATGTAATGTAAATTTTTATTTGAAATAGGCAAAGRGATTATTGAAAAAAATAGAAAATATCTCTAGACAAAAGCATTTTTCCCTACTCTCTGCAAAGAAAACAGAAAATTATTTTGGAAATCAAATAAAGGCCTTACTAGAAGACAGAAGCAAAAATGGCACTGCTTGGTAGCCAACCGCCATATAAAAACCTCTGTGAAAACTCTTAGGAGTAGCTAGGATGAAAGCAAACAGAATAAACTGATTTTCACACAGTATTTACTTTATGGTCTTAAGTGAATACAACATTTAATAAATATCTTATTTCTATTGAAATTTTAAAWWTAAATMTGTGCAAATAAAAACAAAACTAATRTTGTAGGAGGGACTACTGATACATAGTGGTGATCACCAGAATTGCAGGCATAGAGTCTCAGGAGGAAATTCCCAATTTTCTAAAGCTTTAATTTGCAATCCAAAATTATTTTCCCTGTAGAAGGCGTCAGAGTGTGTGTCAAAGCAGGGGAGTGACCACGATATTTATATATCAAACCAAAAGTAAAATGGAATAATCAGGAACCTTCTGGATTATTGAATTCAGTTATTTTTCAAGATTTATGTTTTGTAGCAGACATATACTCTAAAACATCTAATAAAACAAGCAATTCTATTCTATATGCTATGTTACCTTTATGTATGAATAAAGAGTATCATTTCAACTTTTAAACAACTCAAGAATTGATTTTGAAATTCTATTTGGTCAGATATTTCTAGGCTAAGTATCATGTCCAGCTCACCCATTTTTTAGTAAATAAAAGTAGAGTGCAACCATTTTGAGAAATATGTCCAAAAATCACCTGATAATATGGTGGTGGTGGGGGGGAACTACCGCTGATCACTCAGACTTCATGTTAGTGTTCTTTCCTTTATACCACACTTTTTACCATTTCCAAGGGATATATATATATAAGAGCTCAATCCTTTTAGAAATAAATTTACTTAGTACAATTTTCATTAACTGTTGAATTTTTGTGAAGTGAGTTCAAATAATTAACATTTCACAGTAGTTCCTGGACATAAAAATATTAAAAAATTTCATTTTATGCATTCTAAAATGTTATGGTAATGGCAAAAAAATCACTTAAAATCAGTTTCTATTCTTAAACTATTTGTCATTCTCTCTTTGGGATTGAGAGGAATGTTGGTTGATTTTAGTAGCATATTAACTATGTTATCAATATAAGATCATGGTTTGTCAGAATGTAATAAAACACTCCAATAATGTATCTACAGTTTGTTTTTAATGCCATTTTGTATAACATTTCTAGCAATTTATATAAATTGATTTGATACTCATTACCTTAGCTACCATTTATCAAGAGTCTGGTATATGTCATGAATAAATTGTTTTTTATTCTCCCAGTACTGGGGATTGAACCCGTGGCTGAAGTATGCTAGGCAAGTCAACAACCAAGCTACATCCCCAGCGTTTTTTGTTTTGTTTTGTTTTGAGACAGGGTCTGCTAAATTGCTCAGACTGGCCTCAAACTTGCCATCCCTCTGCCTCAGCTTCCCAAGTAGCTGGGATTACAGGCATGTACCGTTGTACCCAGCTAGCAACATACTTTWTAATCCTTAAACATAACTGAGAAACTGACATTGATGAAGAATTGTTAACCAGATTTTAAACAAAGTTTAATCACATCATTCTTAACAGAAAGAAAGTTTCAATATTTACTCTTCATTAAAACGACCGTCTAGGTGTGATAAAATGATGACTATATGTAAACAATAGATCATAATAAGTCAAATGGGTTGCTTTTTTTCTGCATAGAATTTTTATTTTAGGACAGATATCATTMTTACAATTATGGTACAAGTTTTTCTCTTAGTCACAGATGCTTTGCCTTATAATATGATACTGAACCTTCTCTGACTATACACAGAATGAAAAACTGGTTTTAGCTTATTTGAAAGTGAAAATCATCACAGGAAAAATAATTGCAGTTTTAATATAACTATGTGGTTTTATTTATTTTTTTACTTGTTTGCTTGCTTTCTTATTTACTTTCTGTTTTTCTACCTTCCCAGTATCTGATTCAGAGTTCAGTAAATTAAAACAATCATGAAAASTTATCAGGCTAGTGTACCATATTTTTCCTAATTTCATATTTATTTAAAAACTAGGAATCAAAGCATTTTCTAGGAACTAAACATATTAGAATATAATTTTTTGGCCCAAAAAGAGAAAGAGAGATTCTCTGGTCAAGAAACATTTTTATTTGTCTCTAGGTAAAATTCCATTCTCTTTAAATGAAATAGAATTAAATTAATATATTAGTTACAAAAGCAACTTTATAGTTACTTATAAGGGGACTTGTCAGATTGACCTACATAAACAATTGTACAGTTAGATATTAATATTTCAATTGACTAATTRATGTTAATTTCCCAATTAACAGAAAACAGAGTTATAGAAATTATTTGTTAAGTGGGGTTAACATGTGTAGGTATTCAATATTCTGGTAAAATATTTTCATGTAATAGGAATTTAAAATTAAAATTTTCAAATCTTACCTTTCTGGCTAACATTTTAAAATTTCCATATAGACAAAAATTTAAAATTAGAATTTCAGTTTTTTCATCAAACTRAAATTTGTCTGATCATAAATAGCATCTACTATGATCAAAGTCATATAAATGTGGTATACATTTTCCTATGCATGCTAGACATTGTCATCCTCCGTCCCATCTTGTACTGTCACCTCCAAGGTTTGGGAGCTCAATACTGATCCTCTTGCCTTTCAGATAGTTCAACAATTATCACAATGGGTGGCCATGGAAAATGGGAACTCAATGTCTATCACTTTTGCTTAGTATCAATTTTACTGTACTCTACAGAATAAACTTTTTAAAAAGTTATATTTTGATTCATTAGATCATTTATTTTAAACTAACCCTGAACTTACCTGACTGAAATTCCAGGTAGTTTAATTTCAAATTAAATACTGTGGATTTCATTGAGATGTCAGATCTTTGTTGACAGAGGAAAKATATCTCAAGTTCTGCTTGATGACAACAACAAAATTATAAAGAACRCTCATATTGTGTAAAAATCGAATAATGACTGCAAATATACTTTTAAACATAGTAGACAATTTGTACTTATAGTCAATCAGTAGGCAGGATTCTGAACTTAATATTACAGAATAACTTTAGCTCTTTATTCAGTTCAGCATTCCTGAGGAAATATTATTGATTCTTCTTTTTCCCCATGTAATGAACRCTTGGGCTGTAGATAACTTGAATTACAACAAGAAATGCAATACAGTTTCTCAGAAGAGAAAGTGTATAGGAAAAGTGAAGCTCAGGTTGCATGGCTTCTATTTAGGAAGACATTTTTATTCTCCTTATAAATGGTACCTTTAATCTCAATATTTGTAATACTCTTTGTAAGTTACCTAATTTAATGTTGACAGACAAATGAAATTTGCCATGGTAATGATTGTCATGAAGCTATTGTTCTATTTTAACAGGCCTCCATATACCAGTCTATAGACAGAAGCCTGGAAAGGCCTGCTAGGTAAGAATCCCATGACATTGACAACCAGAATGTTCTATGCCAGTGGTTTCTTTTTCAATGGTAATTATGAATTATTTGCTCTTATTTTAAGCACCATCTCATGAATTTAATTTTTGCATTAGTTTATATGATCATATTCAAGAATTTATAAAATTTAAGTGAAATAATTCTGGATTCCTTCACAGATTGATATATTCTTCCCTTCCCTATCTCAGCCTGCTTTTCTTTCCTTTTAATAAGTATTATACATAACTCATTTTCAATGTTGTTAAGCCATATTTATGATAATTATTTAAAAATTTATAAATTAGAAACTCTTATTCACATATTTGTTAATTATACTGACCACACAAATCAGAAATTCTTTTACTAACAATACATGAAGGCTTACTGTATACTTGGCATTCTAAGTACCTAAACATATTCAATCAAAAGACAACACTTCGAGTTAAATTCTGTTGTCTCCACTATATCTCTGAAGAAACTAATACTTTGGCTTAGTAACTTGCCAAGTTTACACAGCTGGAAAGGAGAGAAACAAAATTAAAAGCCTTCAGAGTCAGCCCAAAAGAAGTTCTATTAAGTAGGCTTCAAATATCACACTTACTTTAAAATCTTAATGAAATTCAGTCATAGTTCAATAGCAACATTGAATATTACCAACTCCCAGCTATACTGTGTCATCAACAAATAACTTTCTTTTGCCCTTCTGTAATTTTTATGAACTTAAGTAGAAAGCTCATCCAGCTAYATTAATAGCACAAAGAAAGGAGCATCCAACTTCTCCTCTTATCTTTTGTATCTATATATTCACCCAAAATGTTTTAAATGTTTGAATTTTAAAGTTTTAATCTGTCCTAAGGATTGCTCTAAAGATACAGACCCTCACATGGCAGGATAGTCACAGCAAAAATATGTGTAGGAGATGGAGCTTTCTCATTAAAAAGAATACAAATTCTGAAGTCTATTTCTGTACTTCCCAGGTGTGTGTTTGATTTGCTCATTTATATATGTGGGGTGTACATATCAATCCCTCATAGGTTACTGGGTGGGCTAAATAAGATAAAAATGTAAATACAACACATAGCATCTTACTGAGCTCCATGGGAGCTATATCCAGTGCTGTCACTGTTTACATAAGTCTCTCCAGTGATTTGACAGACAGCATGCTGTACAATGGAGGCTGTCAATCACTAATATTCTTCTCAGACTCACAACCACAATAAAAACTCCTTGCTGTTATAGAGCATTCTCTACAACTCGGTGGAAGGAATTCTTAATAGTTAATTTTCTGGGAAAATTGTTGGTCTTTCATTATTTGAATACGGAATGTTGGAATTCCTATATTAGGTCTTCCAAAGCTAAGATTATTAGGAAAGCCTGCAGGCAACCTTGAGGTAAAAGAACTAATTTTGCTAGACATCTTCCTTTATTTCAGTCCTTTCCTTTGTTTTTGCCCGCCCAAACCACGCCCCTGTCCCATTTGGATCTGTTCATGCTGTTGGAACTCCATAGAGAAAAGATACATTATACATATAACACTGAATTGCCAGTATCAACAAAATGTTCACCATAGGAGAATTTTTATTTTAAAAGGTGATTATAAATATATGCCCACATAAAGAAACCTGTGTATGAATGCCTATAGTTTTTATTGCCACAAAAATTCCCAGGGCACCACCCTTTCTTCCATCCCTTCTTCCACCCACCTCCTAACACCACTGATCTTTTTATTGTCCCCACATTTTACCCTTTCCAGAATATCACAGTTGGAATAAATGTCTTAAAAAGATGATTCTAAAGAAATCATTTTAAATGTCAAGGAATGAGATCCTCACCATGCTATTTTGGGGGTGCAGATTTAGGGGTTGCATATACCATCTTCTCTAACACATCATATGGGCCTTTGTGGTGCATGTGCTAACCTCCATCGGGACCAGTCAAACTGATGTGATTACTTCTTTCAGTTCTGCAAGCATGGCCAGCGACTTCAGGAAACGGAGGAAGAGTGAGCCTGCAGTGGGTCCACCCAGGGGCTTGGGGGAGCAAAGTACAAGCAGGACCAGCCCTGGTCGGGCAGACCTCCCAGGATCCAATGCCACCCTTACGAAGTCTTTCATTAGCTCTTCTCCTTCCTCCCCCTCAAGAGCAAAAGGTGAGCAATGATAAAGGAACGCACAAAAATGAACTAGTTAAAGTTTTAGCCTAGACTGAAAGTGAGAGCCAGGCAGTGAGAGTGATATGTGCTACCTTTTACCTACAGTGTCATAAGTGAAGTACAGTTTCAGAACAATGGCTTTCTTCCTTCCCAGACTGACTCAAGCTGGCCAGCCACTTGGGTTCACTTAAAGGACTCAGACTAGCTTCTTTTCATGCTTTTCTCCCAATATAGATATATTTTTATGAAACATAAAAAGTATCAAATAATTTGTTTGGGGGCTTATAAAGATGAAAGATGATATTTATAAGCATTAATATATAGTAAAAATTTCTAATGTTACTCTACCTAGCAAATCAATCACATTTATAAACTAATAGTTACAGCAACAGAGAAAATTATTCCCTAAAAACATACATTTAAAAAAGTCTTTAGATAAAAAAATGCCTACTCTATCAAAGTTGTTTTTTTTTTAACCATTATCTCTTTATTTTGGCCAATCTTCATATATATAGTAGAGCATCCACATTCTACTGTGCAACATGGTGTTCAATTCACCATGCAATGAGAACTGACTGGTTTTGAGCCATTATCTTAAACCTGAGAAATCAATAAGCCATTTTTCCAGATGGCCTCTATCCTCTTTGGAAAGGTAGTGAGCTAAGTATTAGAAGGGAAGAAGTCAGGCTTCAGGTCCCTGGAAGGTCATTTAGTGCATCATTGCCTCTGGGACAGGAATATTTCTAAGATGGAGAGTGAGGATTRAATGAGCCCGGCTATGTCCCTCTGGACCTTCAGCTATAACCAAATCTGGAGCCATTGGACTCTCCTCCAATATCTTGGAGCTGACAAGAGAGAAGGACTTTAAGATGTGTGAAGAAAATGAGCTCTGACAGAAAGTTCTATAAAATAGATTCAGCCACGTCACCAATTGTAGGCACTACAGCCAGTGCCACATTTAGAGCTGATCAGTAGCTGTGGAGATGGCTGCCCTGTGCACAGCCGGGACCCAAGCCTTCCAAGGCCTAGTGAAGTTGTGAGTAGGACCCAGCTGTTTAGGGGAATGAGCCCCATTCCTTGTACCTTTACTCAGATAAGTAGATGTGCCTTTACCAGATTCTACTCATTTGTGCAAACAAATATCTTAAGGTAGCAAGTCGGTTATGAAATGCCACTGATTCATTATTCTTGGATACTACCCAGAATGTTAAAAGGTTTCTGATGAATTTAAATATTTGTTTAATAGTAGGGAGTGTTAAATTAACTTCCTTTCCCAAACACTACATATCTACTTAATGTGCTTATCTACTTTTAAAGAACTTGGGGAAGATCGTAAGTCATGATTTGTTAATATTTTCCTGTACTAGGTTTTATTTCTAAAAACAAAACATCCTTAGATGTAATTTTGCCTCTTGTTTATTAGCTAATTTGGCAAAGAAAAAGAAAAGAATATTTCTGTAGTTGTTCCAAACTGAGATCAGGTTTAGCTTTCTCTTATCAAATGTCAAACAATAAAAAAAAACCTCCCCCAGAAAAGAAGCATGATATAATTAATGAAAGTTTTACATTATATCCAGTTATCTTTATGAGAACAATGTGTCTAATAGGAGATTGAGGTTAGTAATTAAAGAGATAAATTACTTTATCTAAAGAGCCTCTCACTATTTTTTTTTCCTTGGGAAAAAAAATTGCTAACAATAGTTCACAGCATTTTTATTTATTTTTTTTTACTTTGGAAAATAATGTTTTCTATCCAAAATGCTCATGAAAAATTGTTTATCAGAGTTAAGAGAATATCAATATAAGTTATAAATCACTTCTTACCCTATTGTAAATTATGAACCTCAAATCCTATCCCTCTTAAATTGATTAAGTTCACAACAACTTGGCCATCAATTGTTAATCCTCGAAGTTACTACTACCAGGTCATGCTATTATCTTAAGAGATAGAATTGCATTTTTGGCACACCCTTTGGCAGAAAGATGTATTCATTAAGAAATAGAAATAGGTGTATTTACTACATCAGTTACTTGTTATACATGGTTTAAATGGCTCTAAAATTTGCAAAGCTGAATTCATTGAAAAGGTATTATTTTGCCTTAGGCTTTTTTTTCTCTAAAGTTGAAGCTACATGTGTTAACAATCACTGTCTAAGATAAACCACACTAACTGCTTTCTCTTTGCTGTGCTCTCTGATACTGACCTCCTCTCTTTGTGAACTTTTTAACTTCTCCAAATGTCTCTCTCCTGCCACGCTGCTCTGGATTAAAAGGTGGGGATGATAGCAAAATGTGTCCGTCCCTTTGCAGTTACTCAGGGATCAACGGCACCCCTTCCCCTGAGTTAGAGTACTGTAGCACTTATAGACAGCATTTGGACGTCCCACGGGACTCACAAAGGGCCATCACTTTCAAGAATGGCTGGCAGATGGCCCGGCAAAATGCAGAGATCTGGAGCAGCACTGAAGAAACAGTGTCCCCCAAAATCAAATCCCGTAGCTGTGACGATCTCCTCAATGATGACTGCGATAGCTTCCCAGACCCCCAAACCAAGTCGGAAAGTATGGGCTCCCTGTTATGTGAAGAGGACTCCAAAGAGAGCTGCCCCATGACCTGGGCTTCCCCTTACATCCAGGAGGTCCGAGGTAATGGCAGATCAAGAATCAGACACAGGGCAGCCCACAACGCCCCAGGGTTCCTAAAAATGTACAAGAAGATGCACCGCATTAACCGCAAGGATCTGATGAATTCAGAGGTCATCTGCTCTGTGAAGTCGAGAATAATGCAGTACGAAAAGGAACAGCAACACAAGGGCTTACTCCATGGATGGAGCCAGTCCTCCACCGAGGAGGTGCCCAGGGACATGGTACCCACCCGCATTTCGGAATTTGAAAAGTTGATTCAAAAATCAAAATCCATGCCAAATTTAGGAGATGAAATGCTATCTCCCGTCACCCTGGAACCACAGCAAAATGGTTTGTGTCCCAAGAGGCGATTTTCCATCGAGTCTTTGCTGGAGGAAGAAAATCAAAGCAGACACCCTTCTCAGGTGCAACGGAGCTACCAGTCTAAAACCCTGGTGCCAATCCACATCGAAGTCACCAGCGAGGAGCAACCGAGAGCTCACGTGGAATTTTCCGACAGTGACCAAGATGGCGTGGTGTCTGACCACAGTGACTATATTCATGTAGAAGGGTCATCCTTTTGCAGCGAAAGTGATTTTGATCACTTCTCGTTCACGTCCTCTGAAAGTTTCTACGGCTCCAGCCACCATCGCCACCACCATCACCACCACCACCATCACAGGCACCTCATCAGTTCCTGCAAAGGCCGATGCCCCGCGTCCTACACGCGATTTACCACAATGTTAAAACACGAAAGAGCCAAACAGGAAAACATCGAGCAGCCCAGGAGACAAGAAATGGACCCTGGCCTGTCTAAACTTGCATTTCTAGTCAGCCCTGTGCCTTTCCGGAGGAAAAAGAATGTGACTCCCAAAAAACAGACTGAAAAAACAAAATGTAAGGCTTCTGTGTTCGAGGCTCTGGACTCCGCCCTTCAAGACATCTGTGACCAAATCAAAGCTGAGAAGAGGAGAGGAAGTTTGCCAGACAACAGTATATTGCACCGTCTTATCAGTGAGCTGCTGCCAGATATTCCTGAAAGGAATTCATCCCTCCGAGCTCTGAAAMGGAGCCCCACGCACCAGCCTTTCCACCCACTGCCTCAAGATGGTGCTATTCATTGTCCCCTGTACCAGAACGATTGTAGGAGAATGCCTCACAGTGCCTCTTTCCCAGACGTGGACATCACCAACAGCTACCACCAGGACCCCGAGAGTGCACTGAGTCTCCAAGGTGGAGGAACTTTTCTTGGGTTTTCCCTGTGGTTCAGATACTCACCTCCAGCTCTTCCATCCATTCGTCCATCCCATCGTTCCTGAGCTGTGAGAGGGACTGCTTGCATCGTTGTGTGTTGTGAAGCAAATGTGTGTTGTGCAGACCTGTCTCACTGAATCTCTCTCATGTGCCCATAGTTACACTGAACTTCATGTGTGGCTTAAAGTGATCATCAGTTCACAAAAATTTACTCAGGAGCCAAAGCAAATCCACGTTGTAGCTTAGCACCAGGCTTCCAACAACTGTTACATTGGGATGACAAATTAAGCGATTTACTTAATTAAAAGGAATACTTTAGGGCAGAAACTATCTTTGAATATCAGTATCCTTCAGAGATCTCTTTTCTCTGTAAAATGAATCAAAACCAATAGTTTAATAAATAGCCTTTATCATTTTTTATATTATTTTTAAAATTTTTAGAGCATTCACTCAAATAATTTGCTCACTTTCTGTATGGAAGGTATTATGTGAAAGCATTCAGAAAGCAAAACTGAAGGTATGAATAGTAATTGGTAGACATCTAAAGAGATTAGGATTATTTAATAATTTTCTCCCTTGAAAGGGCACAATTAGGATGAAATTTTTGTGAATGTATCTTTAAGCTGTATATATAAATGTCCCATTTCCATCGATCAGTGTATTCATTTTCTTTTCCATTATTTTATTTATTTTCCATTAATTTATTTACTTTTGCTATAACAAAGTTTGAATTAGACTAGGTTAAAAGTGACTCCAATTCCCTTTACATAGATAACTTTAAAGTGGCAACACAAGGACAAATAGCAATTCAAATGCAGACTTTTTGAAGTTTACATAACTTAAAAGCATAGGGTGTTTTTAATATTTGTATCAAATTCTTTTCTTTAATTTTAAAGTACATCTGCTTACTATGTAAATTTTAAGAGACTAGAGTGAACATTTCAGGCTGAAACTTTGGATGTCAATAGAGAACTTTGTATACACTAGGTACTACCAAGTGCTGCACATCCATAACCTAGTTAAAACTGGCACAAACCAATGGGATAGGTGTTGTCAAAACCATTATTTTACAGTTGAGGAAGTTGAAGCCCAGAGAATGCAAGAAGCTTGCCCAAGGTTACACAGATGTGGACGTCTCCTAATATTTCATAGTTCATAATAGAAAATATAATTTCCATAGTCAAAAAGCACATAATTTAAGTTTCACATTGATGTAACTGATGTAGCTTGTTAGTTATTATACCACATATTTATTTACTATTTATCTTTTTCTCATTCATATTATACAGCATGCTTCTAAAACAATAGATAAGAATTTTTAAAATCAGTTTCTACAATTTGAATTTTCCCTGAGAATTGTTCTAATCTATTTTTTTATAAATTAGTTAATCTTTAGTTTTCTAATATTCTGATGTAATTATCTTTCAATATTTTTATGCAGATACATTATTGAAACACAATTTGACAGAGCTTTGAGCTACATATTATTACTTATTTGTTCTTTAATGAAATAGTCACTTTACAATTACGTTTAGGCCAAGCAAGAAATAGTTTATATTCCATGGGTTGTAAAGTTAAATTTTGAATTTATAATCATGAAAGTGTCATGTTAATAAAAGTATGTTAGCTTACAATGTAAAATATACTCCACATGATCTTGTAGTATAAATGAAAATAACTAGTTAAGTTATACCTGAAATATTTGTGGCCGCCTCACCTTTCTAAACCTAAAAACTTTGGAACTTACAACTCAGAATTTATCCTCATCCATCATGCAACTGACACCATTTGTAGGAATTTAATTCTTCTATATTGTCTAAGTAGCTGAATCCTCCAAACAGTGTTTTCTTCTTATGGGTCTGCATTTTAAATTATTTCACAAAAGGATAAAATAAATTTTATTTTTAATGCTTCTTGTGAATTAATATAACTAAATTTAGTAAAGGAACAAGAAAAAGAATTGACAACTTTTGACCCAGTTAACACTGGTAAAATTCTATGAACAGACTACTGGAACACTTTCAACCTTTAGTTACATTTCCATATGTAAGTCACATAAATGTGTAAGGAATAAGAAAATATTAAGGAACATTTGCAGTCATAATTTTGTAATGCAATTATTTATACTTTGCTAAGGTGAACAAAAACCCTCAATATTTCATAAGCAATTTGACAACTAATATGAGTTCACTTATCCCTTTTGTAATTTATCAGCTGAGCCCAAAGAAAGGTGTAAATAAAGAAAATGACTTAAGACTCAAGTATTTAAAAACAGAGGAAGAGAGAAGAGAAGGGACATTACTTTATCTTGTCATCAACATACTTTCTTTGATTTTATCTMTTTTTCATTTCTGCCTTCTTAAAATGTTGTTCCCCAAAATGTTTCTGTTTCCACAAATTGTTGTTACTTTCAAATACTCCAGCCACTGTAGACCTTATGATGTTAATTATAGATCGGCAGCAAAGAGAATAGAAATAGTAAGTATTAAAAATTTTTTGATACAGAAAATTTCTATAATTATGAATCACCTACACCAGGTGCTACAGTATAATTAATCAGCAATGTCACGATTTTGTTTACATATGTATGATTATAATAACCCTGCTACCTCAAATATTATTCCTTTTGAAACGTTCTTGTTTTGGGGTGTCTTACATTACAACTTTCTATTTACAAAATTTGGGGGCAATTATAGTTGGCATGTGGGAAAATGGGTGAAAAGTCAACTTTTAATGAAGTGGATACTCACTCTGATGGGCCCTGTCCTTTCCAATAGACCGCGAGTCTCCCAGAAGTTACTCATCCACTTTGACTGACTTGGGGAGAAGTACGCCAAGAGAAAGAAGAGCAACTCCAGAAAAAGAGGTAGTTGGTGGATTAGTGCTGTAGTCTTTTCTCCCATGACCTACATGATAAAGCACTTGCCAGCCACACTTACATCCAAAACCAATAAAGAACTCAGACTGAATCATGAAAATAACAAACTAGAATGTTTTCCTGGGAGCCTGAAATAAGACTACGAGCAGTTTGCACTCTGACCCTAGCTGCAGTTCTTCCCTGGTTGTGACCAGCTTTGGTAGTGAGGCCTCCCTGGGTCTTGACCTAACACTCATGAAGTAACAGTTGATATCTGAAAGAGCCCTGAACTGAGCTGCCTTGTGGAATGAGGGGGTTTCCTATGCACCACTAGATCTAGGAGGCAACCCTAGGTCAGCTGTGTTGCAAATCAATACTGACCATATAAATCATTTTTTTGCTGGCTTACTTTGTTAGAGAGGATCCCTGTTGGGGATGGGGAACAAATGAAAAAAAAAAAAAAAAAAACTTAACCAACTAGTTCTAATGACACTGCTCTTGGGAACAATGTACCAACTGATTCTTTGTCCATGGCTCAGCCAGGGCTAGAGCTCTTGCTCCTAAACTGCCCTGGAGACAGGTGGACTTGATGGAAACTGAAAGCTAGACTTGGTCTGGCAGCCACTGCAGATGTTACAAGTATCTGATATAGTCCAGCACCTGTGAACCCTGTGAAGTCAGGAATTGTCCAAGTTTCCTGAAGTTTGTTAGAATCACAGGGAAAGAGAAGAGAAGGAAAGGATTATTGGTTCCTGGGGAAGAAGCCAGTGTTGCTAACTATATGGTACAGGGTGACTCAGGTAGATTCCAGGGGCCCAAAGTTTCAGGCTGGGCACAGGTCAGAGCACATCATGACTAAAAAATGAACAGCTGGCTGAGTGTGCTGAAGGATTCCTGAACCCTTCTGGAGACACAGGATGATTGTGACTCTACTTTCAACCATTAACTAACCTTTCCATGATAATTGGGCTAATATTTCTTGGCTAACATGATAATTAGCAGTAAAAGGGGTGATGATTTCCTTCATGTCTTTTGGTCCTTTTATTATGATTCAGAGTTTCTTCAGTCCATAGTGACCTGCCACAGTGATCCCTGGAAAAACCTTTGCAATAGCTAAAGTTACATCTAGGTCAGGATCTTCTGTGGGCATTTTATTATCCAATTATGACATTAATTTACCATGGTACCTAATTTGAAATATGACAGTGAAGAGGCCAGCTATTATATTGCTCTTATAACTTAAATCTAAATGCAGAACTAATGGATTTATTTGTAAATTGCATATAGGATGTACATCATATATGTTTAATCATTCCTTGAGGCTTTATATTGCATGTAAAACTATTCTCTTACAGGAAATCTGAATTTTAAGTTGGTGCTAACTGTTTACCATTCTTTTCAGAAATTGCCTGCTAAAGCTGTTTATGATTTTAAGGCTCAGACATCTAAGTAAGTCAGATAAGTGTTCTTCATATGATTCAAGTTGTCTTTAATTATGCTAGTGAGAGATAAATGTTGAAATGGGATGTGAAACAAGCAAGACCTGATTCCCAATTCCAAAATCCACGAATTAACTGGTTCCTTCAGAATTATTAATTGCATTGTAATTTTCCTATGATTTATATCATTTCAAAAGCATTTCTTAAGTTATAAGTGAAGTCCATGAATTTGCAAAGAAAATCCTCACCTAACAGAGCTTGACAGATTTTTTTACACATGGGAATTTTATTTACAAAATACAGATCTAATGAGGGTATGGGTCTTAAAAATAATTGCTGTGCATCCCAAGAAAAAGACCATTTAAACATCTCTCTTCCAGGGAGTTGTCATTTAAGAAAGGAGATACTGTCTACATCCTCAGGAAAATTGATCAAAATTGGTATGAGGGAGAGCACCATGGAAGAGTGGGCATTTTTCCAATCTCATATGTGGAGGTGGGTCCTTCTCCCTTCCCTCCTTGAGGCTAGAGGTTTCACCGGTCACCATAAATTCAGGAATAAATTACTCTTTTTCTTTATAGAAACTCATACCTCCTGAAAAAGCACAGCCTGCAAGACCACCACCCCCAGCCCAGCCAGGAGAGATTGGAGAAGCTATAGCCAAATACAATTTCAATGCAGACACCAACGTGGAGCTCTCGCTGAGAAAGGTAACCCAGATATTTTCTTTATAGGAGCCTTGGAAAAGATTGTATATTCTTAAAACTAAAATAGGTTATTTTCTTCCTTCGATATTTTTGTGTTGTCTCCGTTTTCTGTGAAGAAAATTCTTGAGGCTGCCTAGAGTTAGTGTCCTTCCAGAGGCACCACCCTGTAGGATACAGAACCCTCAGATTCCCTTTGTGACTTAGTCTGGGAAGCAGGAACCCAAATCTTCTTCAAGGGGTGCATCTCTGAATATCAAGAAGTTATACATGCAGGACTTCAAAAGGAGAAAGCACTCTAATACACTTCAAAATATTCTGTTACCTTATTATTCAATTTTTTTTAAATGTGTCCAATACTTATTTTTCTCTGTCTTCGAATCAAGGATGTCCCTCAAGATCCTTCCTTTCTGGGAGAAACTCTTTTTCAAGAGTCATCTCTGGGGTTGGGGTTGTGGCTCAGGGGTAGAATGCTTGCCTAGCACACGTGAGGCACTGGTTCAGTCCTCAGCACCACATTAAAAAAAATGAAGAGCCATCTATGCTTCTTTGACATGCTTCCTTGACATCTTCTCTGGGCCTGATCCAAATTTCTCTAGCAACCTACCAATACTGAAGTCTCTTCTTAACATTATCTCTTTTCACTTGCCACTCCACATAGTTGAGAATGTTAAATGAACTATTTTTATTGTTTGCTGGACAATGACATACATGTGTTTGAGGTGACCACTTCTGTATACAATACAGAGAAGTAGTAATATTAATTAGGATGGTCTGGAACCTCCCAGGCCTGCTGGGTGGAATCTTGCTCCATATGCAATAAAGTTCTGGACCTGGCAGAACCTCATTTCAGTCCTAATTCTGCATCATCAGCTGATTCTCTGCTAGCCTCCCAGCATTACATGTACTGTATTATCTTCAGTTTCTTATTTTAGAGAAAGGCTTTCTAAGTACATCTCATAGCTCACACAATAGCCTGGTGACTGTGTGTTCTTGGTGTGTTAGAAAATCAGGGCAATATTAAGACTCGGGGAGATTCATTTTTCATCATTAAGTTCTACTCAGTGATGGTAGGACATGTTAAATAAACCATCCAGCACTTTGACAAAAAAGAGAACCTTCAATTGCGTAGCACTTGAAGTATGGCTTCCTACTGTCCTGAAGCTATTTAACCAATGTCACTTCCACCACTCTTTCAGATGCAGTTGTCTAAACTTCTGTATGTGCAGTTGCAGGTTTGTGGCTTAACAGTAGCCTGCCTACTTAGTTCTGGGCCATGTGTGGTTTTGAGACAAAATTTAAATTAGGATCTATGGCATTGGCTTGGTCACTTCAGGAAGAGCAATCATGAATGTAGACAGTAGCCAAAGACTCTATTCAAATATTTAATGCCCAGTATGGCATGGCCACCAGTCAGAAAGGATGCTGGCATGACGCAGTCCTGACACAGCCGGGCGATTTCAGTCCTGGCCACCGCTGTGGATATTCTAGGGTTCTCTCTTTGCCCCTGTCTTTTGCATTCACTCTTTGTCCCTACTTAGTTCACATAGATTAAAGAAGAAAAATGGTGTGCTATTCTACTTTATCCCTTCCTGAGGACAATTTCTGCAACCATTTTAGACATACTTTCTGAAACTTTTCCCGAAAAAGCTCATTCCTTTGAATTTGACAAAGATAGCATGCTGCTACTGTCATTAAAACATTACCTTTAAATTAGTCTGCTTTTTGAAATAACTCATTGCACACAGTACCAGTATGAAACGTATATAAGCGTATCCACAACCACCAAGCATCCTTAGGGAAGATTCTAATGTTATAAATGGATGGTTTAGTTGCATGAATGTCAATAATCTGTTTTTTTTTTCCTAGTAAGACCTTTCTTGCATTCCCCTAATTAAGCAAAACCTAGAAGTGTCAAACTTTCCCAAGTGTAAAACTTGTTAATTAAGAAACAATAGCAGTTATGCATTTAATATTTTTGCATGCCTATTTATAATGCATTTTCTTAATGTTCATTACAGGGAGATAGAATTATTCTTCTTAAAAGAGTTGATCAAAACTGGTATGAAGGTAAAATTCCAGGAACCAACAGACAAGGCATCTTCCCTGTTTCCTATGTAGAAGTCATCAAGAAGAATACAAAAGGTGCTGAGGAATACCCTGACCCTCCAATACCCCACAGCTATTCTAGTGATAGAATCCACAGCTTAAGTTCCAATAAGGTAAGAAAATATTCTGTCATATGAATATTCTGTCATTTTAAATTTGGGAGCTGGTAGTAAGATAACTAGTATGTGATTTTAGACATTAGATCAGACTATCACATGCATTGCAAAGATGGGATTTACATACTCTGGTTCCACCCATGTGAATGCCATTTAATCTGTCTCAAATAGGTGCTGGCATAAAGGGTTAATGCTTGCTTTTGCTAATTTTGTTTTCAAGTTAAAATGTTGGAAGAGAAAACATTAGTATCATAAAACTTTATATGGTATTTATCTATATTTCTTATATATATTCTTAAACTTTATTTTTTCCGAAGTTTGATTTTATATAAATATAAATTTTGTATCATGAGACATTATTTTATATGCAGATACAATTACAATTTATATATATAAATATCTATATATATAAAATTCATAAAATTCCATGTATATCCCAAGATGGTGTATCTCAAGAACATATGGTTATTAGATTGACAAAAATCTCATTCAAATCTTTATAGAAAAAGAAGGAAGTAATTCTTTTAAAAATTAGAGACTAATTTGGCTTATTAGTTTGAATAAAAATGTTGTAGATTGTTAGAAGTCTTCAAATTTATTCATTAGTTTGGGGGCAAGTATATGCCAATTCTACTATTACCTTTGAGCTGGTAGCTGAAGATTATTATCTATCTACATATGCAATTTATTTTTTATTAGTTTATCTTTTAGTTGTACATACTTTTAGGGTTCATTTTGAAACAATTATATGAGTGTGGAATATCAATATGCAATTTAAAAGAGACTCTACTTCCTGAATTTGTTAACAAGTAAAAGCTGTCCTCCTACTGTCTTTACTCACAATGTGAATTTTTTTCTTATTTTTCTGTTGAATTACAATGTATTCTTCTTTATGGATGGTAATTTGGGGTTTCTTTCTCCTTTTAATTGACTTCAAAGTGTAAACTTTTCAATTGCCAAAGAATTGTTTCCAAAATACTGTTAAATACTTGCCAACATTTTCAAAAATTATTGTTACATAATTTATTGTTTTGCTTGAGATCAAGGCTAGGATGTAGAAAAGTAAACCATCTAGAGTTACCAAAATAAAACAGCATATCAGCCATTATGAAATCGTGAAGTATATGCAATGCAAGATCATTTCAAAGTCATGTCCCCAGAAACTTAAACTACTCCTGAAAAAAGAGACTTAGGAGAATTTTAAATAAGTAAGTGATAAAATGTGTTCTTAAGAAACACCTTCTTTTAAAGGTCTAAAGGTAGGCATTTTACTCATCGTAATCCCCTTTAAAGATTGGGTTTCAGTTGTGGGAAATTACTCTCAATTCTATGTTCTTGGACAATGGTATAGCTTGGTACTATCCAGTTTTGTTTGATTGTGAGGTTTTCCAGAATCTTCCTGAGTATATTTATTTTACCACTTAGGACTTAGCATTTAAAGATCAACATTCTTTCTTCAGTAGTTCTTACTGATAAAGAGAAAAGATAAGAATCTCTATTCAAATATTTGCCTTATCCACCATCAGTGAATTTAACAAAACTGCCAGATAAATCTCAAGCAATTGTACTTTTAAATAAAATTGTATAAGGAAGAAAATCATGTCCCTATACAGGTCTATTTAAAATTAAAGAACTTCCATGTCCCCTAATTAGTGATAACAATATAATATTTTAGATTATAATGTTTTAATCTTTGTGAATATAATTTAAATTGGTATTTTCCATTTTTCTATAATACCAGGTTTTAAATAGAGGAGTACACAAATTTCATTAATAACTAATTAGTTTATTCTCATTGCTGGGAACAAATACATTGAAACTTTATGTCCATAATTTGAAAGAAATACTTACTGGTTTCATTTCAACTGAGGATCCATGCTATGATATTACTGGCTTAATGGAGGGAAATTCCCAATAGTGTTGCACTGAGTTATTTTCAGGAAGAGAAATGTTAGATATTTTCAAATGATGAGACTCAAAGTAATGTCACATCTTTTATTTTCTAACTGATATTTGCAAAAAGGAGCTCATTAATGATTTTCAAATCACCCTTTGACAATTTTAAATGATGTTTCTTGACATAGTATTTCCATCTTAGGGGAGACTCAAATGTAAGTTTATATTATTTCTGATATTTTTGCTTTTAGTACAATAGAATCCCATTAGAAAGAAAGCAGAATACTTGTATGACTTTTGTATTATGGGTACATTTTTGTGATATAGGTATTCTGAAATACCTAACAACTTTTGATATAACCAAGTCCATGGTACAACTAAGCACTTTTAACTATTAACTTATATATAGATGACTATGGTCATAATGGTACTTATAATAGTAGTAGCAGATAGCAATAGTAATAGTGGTGTAATGTAGTATAATGATAATAATGATGATAAGGAATTTAAAGATCCTTCTTTCTCACCCAAATAATAATCCTATCCATAAAAGAGAGTCAGAAGTAGTTATCTTGAATTATTGTGAGTTTCAAAGACTTTCAAAATCTAATTATTAAGAACTTTTGTTATGTATACTAAAGACCATAAAATAGAACTCTAAACAATAAATGAACTTCTATAGACTCTCAAATAAGACTTAGGTAATTTATATGTTGTTGAAAATTCAGCATTTGTGGGTTGGGGGTATAGCTCAGTAGTAGAGCACTTAAAATTCAACACCTACAGGACTTAACAGGAATGGGTTTCCACACAGTTCACATGTACAGGCTCACTTTGTATCAAGTGCTAAGCAGCTTAGAGTACCCTGTAGTAACATGCTCAGATGAGTTTTATGAGACTTTGTGCCATTTTTGGTACTCCTTGCTGAAACAACATCATATTTCTTTTTTTTWAAAGAAAAACTAAATAAATTCATCTAATGTCCCATTCCTATTATAAGCCACAGAAATCAAAAGTTAGGTGGGAATTTGATGTGTACTTACACATACTAAGGCCTAAGGTCCTAGAGTCCTTGCTGCATGTGTGAAGTATTGTCCTAAACAATCGACTAGAAAGTGCATCTCCAGAATCTTGAAAATTTTTTGTTTCCAAACAAGTCATCTACTTGGAAAGCACTAAAGCATCAGAATATATGTATAGCATATAGCACGTTTTCTTGTCCATCACAGATAGATCAATGTATGAGACATTGCTAAGCAAGAACTTCTAGAACTACTTTTCATGAACTTGCACAAAAATTCAAATTTACCATTTTGTTTAAATATCCAAAATACATCAGTAATATTAAGATATATATACATTAAGATTAAGCTTCATAAATTATACTCCCTTGGGCTTATATAAAATGTCAAGCCTCGGAGGCAGAATAGGAGACAAGCAGAAGTTTATTCCATTAGCATCTTCTTCTTTTCTGTGTAAACAGTTACTTTGGATATTTTTTTAAATTTGAAGCAGTAGTTATATGAATTCAATTTACTCTGGTTATGGGTTTCTGTTCTTGAAACATATTTTTGGAACTTATTCATTTAGAAATGTGTTCATGTATAATGGTCCATAATACTTCATGTGATGTATCATAATGACCTTGAAAACATGAGTAAGGAAGTCTTGAGAGTTCAAAAGATTGGGCAATGCCTAAGGAAGCAAGAACAGTATATAAACTTAAGGAATAAAACACACACAAAAAAAAAACCCCTTAGCTGTTGGTTCTCATTTTACATTAACATTTTCCACAATAACTTTGAATCACAGTTTAAAAGACTGAATATCATCTAAATGAAGTACACTATTAAATTAAATCTCTTAAAGGTTTTGATGTCTGTCCTCATACTCTCTATGAACACTTTATCTTCTCATATAACACAATCTTTTCCAAAACTAGTAGTGTTTTATTGTTCAAGTTGCTTTCTTAAATTAGCATAAATGGATTGTATGTATTTAAATTTCAACACAATTTCTTCCAATCTAGGTATATTCCAAATATCTTAAAATCCATGTCCATGTTAAACATAGACTAATTTTTATATTCATTACCATACCTTTCCTGCATTTCTCTGTCTCTATGTTCTTACTCATTATTATTATTATTATTTTATTTGCCTATTTTTTTAACTTCATAATCCCTGCTCATTTCTAAGTTGGCTTCCAGTGAACCAGCCCTTCCTCCCATGCACAAAGCTTCACCTGGCTCAGACAAAGGAGCCTTCCAGAGAAATGGCCAGAAGTGGTTGTCCCCGACAGAGGGGTATCCACCAGCAAACTCTTTGTCCCCAACAACATCTTCTTTTCTGGACAACTTCTTGGATGAATTAGAAAAGTTTAGTGCTCTAACCTTACCAGGTGACCAAGCCAAACCAAATGGCCTGGAGGAGATCATCCTTGAAATTAAGGAGGAGCCTCCTGTTCTCCTTCCATTGCCTTCAGCATCCTTAGCTGCTGATTCATGTCACTCTCTATCACCTTCCCCCCACTTGAGCGTGACCCCAGTTGCAGCCCAGCCTTACAATACAAAGCCACTTCAGGATCCCATAAAGACCACTCGAGACAAGTTTGCAGATGGGAAGAAAATGAAGAGAGGCTTTTCAGACCCTGAAAGGGTACTTGAAGTACTGGGTRATAAATTTGTGTCCTCTGCATGTACCAATGTGGGTTCCTTGCCTGAAACCCTCCCTGTCATTGGAGAGGAAGATGAGGAAATCTGTGAGGGGGTTGTGTCAGGCATCCAGAGGTGGCCAGCAGAATCTCAAGAACAAGGTGTCTTGTGGTGTGACCATGATGGCACAGAGGTGACACCAGAGCTGCACATTGAAGAGGAGGAAGAAAAGGAGAAACATGGCTGCCTAAAATATCCAGTAGGCATCCCCACAGATCCTAGGATCTCTAAGGAAGACAGCAAAGCAGCAAAATCCAGTCATGAGGTATTTAACTTTGCCTAACAACCCAACAACTAACCAGGCTTACTGTACTAAGCTAGGATAGTTAATCACATTAGTAAATATCTACTGATACTGCCTTAACAGGTTTCATTACAAAAAGAATAAGCACTGTGTGAGTCAGGGTGGAAGAATGAATGAAAACACTCCATATTTTAATAAAATGGTGCAAATATATAATTCCAGCACCAGATTATTTCTTTATGAGTATAAATTCACATTTTAAAAGTCTTTGTAATATGTAGCCTTTTATAATTTTCCAGTTTTAATAACAATAGCTAAAGTTGAAGCTCTTACTGTCGGGCAGTTTTCTAAACACTCTACATCTTTAATTTTTGAAACCCAGTGAGATGGGAAATATTATTATCTGCACTATATAGATGAGGAAGCTGATGCAAAGACAGATCAGTCCGATTTCAAGACAAAAGAACAGTAGACCACACCTCTCATGTGATGGCACTTTGCAAAAAAGTAAAATAACATAAAATATAACTTTATATTTTATAATAATATAAAATAAATAAAAAGACAAATAGTACTTCCATCATTTTTTGATTTTTCTGGAGAGGTCATTGTCTTCAAGTTCGTAACTACTTAAGAATTATGTTCCACAACTTCTTCATACAAACAAAGGACATCAAACAACAGCGTTAATCACAAAGAGAGAAAATTCCCTAAAACGTTCATTCGTACACTTTTCTCTCTTTTTTTAAAAAAATAAATTGATTTCTCAAATGTGTATTCTGCAAGTAAAAAAATAAAATATAATTACTTGCAAGTACTGAAACTATAAAATAAAAAGAAAGGTTCATAATATGCTTCTATGCCAGTCATTTTTTTCCATGATTCCTCTATTTCCAAAATAAAAACCCTGCCATGCTTCCTTTGCATAAAACAGACACACTACTTCATCAATCACAGAGAGAATTCACTAAGTTAAACATGTTTCTAAAGGAGTCACTTAATAACTAATTTTCCCTTCAATATAATCAGTATTAAGATGTTTTTAGGTAAGTGGCTCAATTCACAGGAAGTGGCTCAATTCACAGGCTATCTGCCTGCTGCAAACAGTACACCAGGCTTGGCATATGCCTTATGGGGGGAGCCCAGTAGCCAGTTCACATCACACAGAGAGATCATCACTTCTCTTGTTTCTAAAGTGATACTTAGAGTTTGTGACCTACTCTCCAAGCAAGTTACAAAGGGTCATTACAGGGTCGTAGATAGTTTTTGTCTTCACATGTAGTAGAAGCTTTCAAATAAACATGAAATGGTAGAATACATACATTATCTCCTCGCCCCCAATTTAAACCAATTATACCCATTGGGACTTTTGAATCCAATTCAAAAGAAAAAGCACCAAGCAAGAATTTATCATAAATATCACTTCCCAGGATAACTTCAAAATTAATTTCAGTTTGGAGAATATTCTCTAAAGACTTTGCAGCCTCATTCTGGATATGTGAATAATCACGTCTTGTTTTTCCTCAATCTTTAAGCCACCTTCATTTTCTTCGGRAGATGGAGCGTCTACACCTTTTCCCAGCCATCTGCCTTCCTCCCCTTCATTCCATTCTCCCTTGGCCTCTGTTTCTGACCTGGTCTCTACACTTTCTCAGCCTACCCAGCCCTACTCTCCTCTCCTCCCTAAATATTCTTATCAACAGGAAATAAGTTCACCAAAATTAAAGGTAACTGCATCTTGAGTCTTGAGTGTGGCTTACTGCATGTTTTTAAATGAACTCAAGTAGATGTATGCATTTAGAATCTGTGGCATCTTACAAGCTCTAAAAAGTTATATAAGTACTGATTGCTAACTTTTAACATGATAGCATGGCCTCTGTTCAAAAATTTAAAAGTTATATCTTCATAGTAACTAGACCCAGATTGAAGAGAAGAACAAACTAAAATTTATATTATCATAAAAAACAATCATTAGATTTTTTTATTGGGAGTCAGCTTGAGAACCATCCCATTCAAAGGTGTAAGCTTTGTGCCTGTTATTCTCTCCCACTTCCTAGTAAATTCATTACCTCCCATCATTTCCCTCCCACCCATCAGCAGGAACAGCAGAGCCTAAGAGCAGAATGGTCTTTATCATCGACTGTCTTGAGCCGAGACCTTTCACAAAGGTGGAGTAAATGGGGATGTAGGTAGGATGATCCTACTGTTGCAGTTGACAAAGCATCCATCTCTGACACTTGCAGGCTGGCAACTCTGTTGGTATTGAACTCTTCCTTAAGATCATATTTTTAAAATTTTTTAACAAAATTAATGACTGGCCTTGGAAAGAGAGAATGATCATCACAACATGAAATCAGTCCATCACAGAAAAGATTTACTTCTAGGCTCAGAAAGATCCTGAAATATTTCCCTTTTGGCAAAGGTGACAGATTTCAAATGAGAACTCATCCTCATATTTAGTCTTTAGAACATGAAATGGGGGTCTCTGCAGATGAAAGTTAAAGCTTTGGTAGAGCCAAGTTTTTATGTTAGGGAACTCCAACACCTGAACAGTGCCATTTATACAATCTTCAACATCTGTGTTATCACATCCCTCCACCAGAACAGTCCATCTATGTGAATTCACTTAGGTGTGGAAGGAACTTTTGAAAACTGAAATACTTAAAAGACTATTTGCTCTTTGTTCTTAGAGATTTTACCGTTACTGGCAGAAAATAATTAGAAAAAAATTTAAGCACTATAATGCCACTTTATATAATGTCTAAGGCTAAGAATTGTCTCCCTTGCTTTCTGTGGTTTTATTTTTAAAGCTAGTGTATTTATTAATTTGCCTTTTAGTACTAATTCATCAGGCCTTTAAGCTTTATCAGTGAGGGAAAAAGCAACCTTAGAATCTGAGTTCTCCAACTTAGAGACCAGACAGAGGACTCTACCTTGTAGCATCAAGGACAAAACTAAAATTTAGAAAGTTTTATTCTCCTGCAAGAACCTAGTTCATCTCATAAATTCTTCAGGTCCCAGATGCTTATAGAATGATATGAGAGAACAGAGATATCAAAAGAATACTTTAATAACTACATAAAATAACTAACTCCAGAGAAAATGTAAATGTGTTTTCTATAAGATTTTATCTTACATTGGGGAGCAAATCTTGATATTTAATCTCCCATTGAGTTTTTTTAAAACCTTATAAATCTATTTTCCTACTCATAGAAAGAATGTAAGTTGGCTGGAGTTATTCATGCTGAGTAAATATAAATACAAATTGAATCAACTCTGAATTTTTACACTTATTGCAAAGAAAGAAACCTAGCACTGAAATCAAAGAGAAAATACCATTTTAATAATCTTAATAAGTACAGCAGAGAATGCATGAAATAATTGCAATAACAATTTTATCAACCCCTTATCAGCCATTATTCAGCCTAGGTTAATTCAATGTCATTTTATTCTTTAAAATTATATTCTCAGACCATGAAAAAATCTGTCATGTGCAATCCATAAAAGTAAAATTGACTACCACTTTATGGATTATAGAATGTTGAAAGATAAACAAATTGTAAATTTGATGTATAAATAATCCAAATCCAAGATTTTTTTCCCTAGTTTTTTCAGTATGTTTTCAAATTAATTAGTTTTTATAATAAAAATTACTGTAAAATCAATCCTCTCTGAGATGTACTTTTCATTACATCCTAGAGAATATTTTGTAGAAGAGACTTATAGAATGTGGATTCAAATTGCAATGAAAGCACTTAATGAAGATAGAGAACCGTTTTTTTTTTTTTTTGATTTCTTCCAAGAAACTCATTTCTTATGGTCCCACAGGGACGTCATCATCCTAAAGCAACCCCATCCAATCTGAGCCCCTTGAGCAGTTTCCAACACAAAATTTGGCTCCAATTCTATGTTCAACTGATCTTTTTAGCTGTTACTGTCCCCATCCTTTTTTCCCCCTCTGTCAGCATTGATATTATAGAACCACGGTATTCATCAAAATCAAAATTCCTGCAGTCCCAGAAAACTCAAAATAGTTTTAGCTTAAACCTGGCAAAAATACATTTCTGACATAAACGTAGAATGTTCCAGATTGGAATGGTGGCTTCATAGTCACCAGTAAATCCAGGAAATACCCAGAAATTACCTGTATTGCATCTTTCAGAACTTACCATACAAATACATCTGAGTACAAAGAAGGTTAGGAAATGTAATCTTTACTCAGAATGGCCATGAACTTGTCCTACATCCATCCTGGGTCCCACTACTGAAGGCGAAGAAGAAAACGGATATCAGAGAACATCAGACACTCCTGCTACCACCCTTAAGCAAACCTGCCAAGCTCATTTCATCCCAAGAAACTATTGATTTGAGGACAATTATAAATAGTTATTGTTAAATTTCCCCTAAATGAGAAAAACCACATGTTTTATTTAAAAGTCTTTTAGTTCTACTAAAGTTCCTTTTAAGCTAAATCAAATGCCAGACCCTATATTACTAGATCCTGCCCCCTCGTAAAATCTACTCTCACACATGGTTGGCTTATTTACTGTCACAGTGAAGATCTTACTTTGAAAAAAAAAATGCTAAAACAATCAAGCTTTAGTTAGGGCAATATTTAGTATTTAATTATATTTCACCATTAAAAAACATCTCTTCTTATACATGCTATTAGAAAATTTTTCCTCTTGACAGTTTCCAAGAAATTTGATGAGTTTCCGTCTCACTTTGTATCTGTTCAATAAGCACAAAGAAAACAGGTCAGATGTGAGAGTATTTTTAACCCAGTAGTTAAGTACTCTGTTAAAAAGTTAGGCCAAGGCAGGAAACTCATGAGTTCAAAGTCATGCTCAGCAATAGTGAGGCTCTGAGCAACTCAGTGAGACCCCTGCTCTAAATAAAATACAAAAAGGGCGGGGATGTGCCTCAGTGGTTGAGTGCCCCTGAGTTCAATCCCCAGGACAAAAAAAAAAAAAAAAAAAAGATAATTTTTACTTTGCATTCATAGCCATGTACTTTGCTTTCAAATTCCTTCCCCATGCCAGCTTCTCTCTCTAATTCTTTTTCTGCTGTGCCTATGAGCCCCATATCAATGCAGCATCTGATCCTGAGTGTAGACACTGTGTGGAGCCCTCAGAACAGCTGTCTGCAGACTCTTAACCCTTCCTGCTCTGCTGCTATTCAGGAGTTTGGCATGCTGGGTGTGCATGGGAAGACCCAGATAGAAAAACTCCTCCTGAGACTGCATCATGAAGATGAGAACTAACTAACTTCTTATGGCTTTTCCAGGCTGATTTAAAAAGYGAGATCTTTGTCCTGGGTAAACCTCCTCGTAGCCCAGTGATGTCTAAGAGATCCTGCAGCTCACCTGGCAGCAGTTCCCACAGGGTAGGGTCAGATCACACCCACCTTGTGACAGTCATCCTGGCCACTGTCCCTTTCAGTGGGCTGGCTCTTCCACAGTTATCCTTGCTATGATCTGACAGTGAAGTAGGGCTGAAGAGAGAGACCCTTGAGAGGTCTGATGATGACCAGTGACATCAGATCCACAGGAAAATCCTGATCTAAGACTTGGGGTCATGGCCTTCCCTGGTGTGTGTGTCAGGTTTCCCAAATCCAAAAAAGACAGGATCAGTTTCCCACAATACAAATAAGGGCAGGAGTGTGTGCCGTTTTCTACATCTGTCTCATGTTTCTGGACTAAATTGCTGCTTTCTAGTCACTGTGTATGGTGCAAAACCCCAAACTGCTGCCAATCATATATTGAACTCACATGCTTTCAGTGATGTCGGCTTCTATGTCAATCTGTTCAGATTTATTTTAATTCATGATCCTTGTGTCAGAATGTGTTGTTTGTGTTGGTGGTGTAGGGGTGAACATAGCTGCCTTCCCAAATGTTTTGTTGCTCCGGTGACAAGTGCTACATTCACTCAATGCTCCTTTTATCTCCAATATTGCTCTCTGGAGTCCATGTACTCCCAATTTTTTGACAGCTTTGATCAAACTTAAAGGTCCAATTACTGTCCCTTTAGCTGCTTAGTTCTATACCATCTGCAGCACTTTAGAATGAATGGATTCTAAATGGAACTGTCACTTCTGGGGAACGCAGCCAAGAAGTTTGGGAATTCTCATCTGTGCATACGTCAGGATTCCTTTTACCCTTGTTATTTCAACAGGACCTGGTTGAGTTTCACTAGCCAATTACAAAGTTGTGGCTCTGCATTTCAAGTTCCCAAAGGCTTCATTTCAAGTTTTCCTTTTCCATTTTTTAAAATATAGATACTGTTCTGTGTTTATGGCATTTTGTGCTTTTTTTTTTTTTTTTTTTTTTTTTTGCTTTGCATAGTAAGACCTTGTTTTGTTGCTGAAGCAATCTTCTGTTGCCATAGAGAGAGAGGAATGTCAGTTTGTAGAGATTCTTAAACGCCCTTAAATGGCCTTCCACAGCCAACGCGCGCACACACACACACACACATAGGTAATCTTTCCAAAATTGATAGAGCTCATCCATAAATCCCCATGGGTCAATGAACTGGTATGCTTTGGGTCACTGCAAGTTAGGTTACACATTTGTGTGGACCATAAATATTCTATTTTCCTTCCACTTGTGCAAAGTTGTGTTTACTTTCATAATTTAAGAAAGAAGAAAAATAAGCCTATAAACATAAACTTGGTACTGTTATTAGGAGATTGTCAGCCATTTGTGTTGATAAATACCGCTATTAACATTTTCTGGGAAAAACTTGACTTAACTTTAGAACAATTTATCATGCTTTCAAAGATTTTTCAATGTCAATATTTAAAGTAACAATTCATACTATTTTCACAATGATGTCATAAAAGATATATGAGCTCACAGTTCATGTAAGCCTCTCAGAATGTCACAAATATATATGAATCCTCCAGGAATACCTTTGCAGAAGCATAAATAGATTGGTTTTCAGACAGACTATACCTCAAATGAGAAGGGAAAGTATATCTTCTTCTGATGCCAGAGTATCTAGGATAGGTCAAACCAGTTTCTTTATGAGCAATGGTTTGTGGTTGATCCTGGCTTTGAAAGTTAGCATGTGTTAAAAACCTGTCTTTCATCTTTGACAGCATTAAAAAATAAATAACTACTCGTCAACCAAAATAAATAAATAACTACACTAAAAGAAAAAAAAATTGTTACATTGCTAAGGGGGAAATTAAATACTTATGGTACCATAAAAATAGCATGGTGCTGCACTGAATTTTATAAATTTTATTCTACTTTTAAGATTCATCAAGGAAATATAGGCTTGATACAATTCAATTCTTGCTCAAATTTTCCAGAGCAGTGATTGTAATGTGTTAACTTGAAAACCGTCTTCTGGAGCTCACAGTTCGTGTAAGCCTCTCAGAATGTCACAAATATATATTCTTCTATATTTATCTCAGCCCTGTTAAGCAGTTATGAGTAATAGAAATGCCTGGGCAGAGAGTTAAAATAGAAATGAACACAGACCAAAAACATCGGTGGCTGACAAGTGATTCCTGCTCAAGAATGTAAAATGTGGGAAGGGAAAAACATGGTTAGGAAAACAGGTGATTGTTCATTCCACATCATTCTGTGGTCTTTAAAATATCCTTTCAAAATTAATCCAGGCTGAAGGAATTTGGTGAGAGCTGACCAAAGGCAAAAACAACTTTTAGTGTGTTGCTATCCCTACTCACCATTAGGTGGCAATCAAGGGCAGATATGGCACCAATTCTAGGGTATATGCACACTGAGCAGAAGATGGTCTCCTGAGATAATTTGCTTKAATATCTTTACAAAGCATAAACACCTATCTTAGAGACAAAATTAAGATGTTGATTAACCAAGTTGAGCCACCTATCCTATCTTAGTAATATTTCATACAATAAAGAGGGTTAGTAAAATTTATCATCCCACTTTGTTTTCTAATCTATTTGTCACATTAGGAAATTATCCAATAGCTTTGGGTTTGGGTTTATTTGTCTGAAAACAAAGCTGAATTATTACCATTATTGTTTTTATGTGACTAAGACAAGTGAGAATTAACCAGTAAATATTACTTGTYAGGGCTCTCTGACAATTAAATGCCTAAGATTGATGAGAGGCCCCTTTACACAGCCGAGGAAATGTGGTTGTCTTTATGAGTTCCCCAAGTGGAGAAAGATTAATCTTCATCTCATCTAACTCCTTGACTTTAGAGATAAGAAAGCTGAAATGAATCCCCAAGGTCATAGAATAAGTAGTCAATGCCCCAAACAGACACAAATGTGCCCTCATAAATAACTGCTCATAAACAACCACTAACACTTTTTACGCCACTACTTATTGGTCAAATACCTTTGAAATAAATTAATTCACAGGCTGGGGATGCAGTTCAATGACAGACCCACTTGGCTGGCATGCCCAAGGCCCTGAATTTGATCCCCAGCAATACACACCCACAAATTAATTAATTCAAAAAACGTTAATTAGTTACCTTTCCTCCAAATTGGGTCCTAGTTATCCATTAACATGGAGTGAGTCTTATTAAAGGAAGTTTTGCAAAGTTTTATGAGAGATTCACAATTTCTCTATTAATTAAGGCTGTGAGAAATTCTAGCCTGTGTGTATAAACAGTATGGAAAGGGCGGGAGGCAGAGACAAGTTTTGAAGGATGTGAAGGAAAGGAAAAGACCTATTGGGAAACAGGGTCAAGAGCAAGGACATTACTGACAGACGCAGCCAGAAATACAAGCTCTTGACATGCTGAGGCCTGCAGAACTAAGGGACCCACACACAGCAACAGCCCAGTTCTTCCAATCCAATCGTCAAAAGAATAGTTCACGTAAATGATTTAAGAAGCAGGTTGAATTAAAGAAATTGAACTGGTAGAATTATAGTGATGGAGATATACCGACTTTGAAAGTAGAGTTTTTATTTTAATATATAACTTCATTTTTAAAGTGTTATTCCCATTTTAATGATATTAAATCAACCACTTTCACCAAACACTGAATGCCTTTTATAAATTATAACTTTTACTCAATTTAAACATATTAGGATGATTTAACTATGTGGAAATAGGCAGGCCATCATTAGAGCATAATGAAACATATTTTACAAAACGTTTTCTCTTAAGAACAAATAATATTTTTATCTATAACTTTTCTTTGTCTTACACTACGTATGGTGCTATGAAAATTTTTTGAAAGAATAGTAGCTATCATGGTTGTTATTTGAAAGACAGCAAATTAGATTCCRTTAAAGACTCTTTTATATACACAATACTTTTGAGTGATTAATGTGACATTTTCAAAATCATGTAGCCTTAATACATAGTAATAAATAGTAATTTGACTGGAAATTTTACTCCTGTGAATTAGTTTAAAAGAAGAAAATAGCTTTTGAATATAATGTTAATAACATTTTTATTTATAATAGCAAAAATTAAAAAAAGATGAGGCCAATAAACTTCAAAAATAAATGGTTAATATAGTATATAGAACATATGTGAGGGAACATTATTCTGCAGTCATTTAAAAAGAAAAAGAAAACAGAAAAGAAGACTTGGAAGTTATTACATAGTATTAGTGACAATATATACAGCTTTTACTTCAGCATGCAAGATATTTTACATATATAAAGTTTTGTTGAATTAAAAAAGAACTTGAAGAAATGTAACATATAGGTTTACGGATGACTTACAGTTGCCTCTTTATACATTTAAATTGATTTAATATTTTAAATCATCAAAAATGGCTGGAAATTGTTTGATCTTAATAATTCTTAAAATAATGTTTTATCATTTTAATAATAGACACACTGTTAACAATTTTATATTGGTTGATGTGAATAAACTCTTTTAAGGCCTTAAGCCATCCACGTGTATGTAATCTTACCCAAACTTTAATTTTAAGTTATTATGTGCATGGACTGTTGAGTGAAATACTATTGGTAATAGCTTCAAGTGAATGGATTCAGAAATTGACACTTTAGTAGTCTATCCCAGATAGCATGGATGGGAAGCAGTTGGATAAAGAATTTAGGAAGGGGACTGATCATAGAGTACAGGGAATCCCAGATTTCCCCATCCAAGCCTGGGCCAGTGGTATTTCCATAGACAATCTGCAGGAAAAACTTTTCAGCCTCTCAATAATCTATTCATAATTATGGGAACCTGAGAACTGGTCCTGATGTCTAAGGACATGGATCTAACAGTTAATTCCGTAATCAATAAAGAGTCACTGCCATGCAAACTCTGATTTTGTTATGTCACCATGTAACTGTCCTTTAGAAGAAAATACTTTTGAAACGTATTATGAATGAGTTGCATGCATTTCTCTCCCTAAAAGGTAACAGTTAGGTAGTCAATTACACAAATTTGACATATTCAACAAATGTATTAACTTTCGTTCATTGAAGTATTTATGTGGCTATATAGGATGCTAAGGCTTGTCATTTCCAATATTATAAGTATCTATTACAGATACTGGTCTTGATGCTTAGTTTAAAAAGCAAGGAAACTCTTTTGAGAGTTCAGTGCACTGGGAATTTCTACCAGTATTTCTCTTCCAAGGTAAAAATGTTACATGTTACCTGGATATTGTTTGTTGCATTCTATTAAAAGTTCTCTGTTTCTCATTTTAAAAATGCATGTGTCTTCTCCACATTGAGAGCAGAGAATGTTACTTCAAATGTAGCATGGGATGTCACCTGTACTGTATGTGAAAATGTTGTCTGTGAAGGAAAAGTTTACAGAGTGAATGTGGATATTCTGCTGTTAAGCTAACTGTGGCTTACTTTCTGCTTGTTTGAGAAAACGCTGGAGAATAAGGTTGAGTGAAGGTGTCCATACTGCCTATTCTAGTGATTTGGTGTCCACGTTCTTGCCATATTCCTGACCTTTGAAAAATCAATGGGACTAAACCCTGAATTCTTAAAGCTTGAGCAGACAAGATTGTGGATGTGTTCAAAACATTTGAACCATGGTTATTTTCATTTAATTTAAAGCACTCTTCAAAATATTTTAATTATAAATCCTGCAGAAACCCTTTATTTGGTGGTTGTTTTTCTTCCTCTTGGTTTTTTACAACAGGAAATATTAAATGTCAAGAAAAGTACCATGCCATTACCCAAATTATCTTTTAATTATTACCAGTTTAAACATTGATTACATTGAAAATCATTTCATTTCAGCCACAGCGTCCTGTGTTTACTCATGAAAACATTCAAGGTGGGGGGGAACCGTAAGTATTCTTCTTATCTTCTAAATTCAAGACTAACCTTGACCCACAATATAGATTATTGATGTACCAAAACAGAGGATAGCACAACTTTGCAAGTGAAAGAGATCAAAGTAACTTCCATGAGATCTTTTAACTTAGGGGTAATTGCAGTGGTCTCCATCTTTTATGACAAAGATCAAAAGCAATGCTTAAAAGAAAACAGAGAAGGTTTTCATTTATGCACTAAGAAAACCTTCCAATGTTGTGGTGATTCCCAAGATTTATAAATTTGTCTCGTCCTCTGCCTGCTGGTTATGTAACTAGTCACTACAGTTTTAAAGACACATGCAAAATGTCCTAATATTGTTTTTCCACCTGCTTGATTGAAAGTAGACTTAAAGTCTACCTTAATACCAACATTCCGAAGTTACATGCTTAGAAGTGTCTTTTGAAAACGGCAGTATTAAAACAAAACACTCACTGTCATTCAGCTAGAAGGTATTACTTCCCCAGCACCAGGAATATGCCTTTCAAATTCCCTCTCTTTGATACAGAAGCTAATTCATCCTAAAGGTATTACACATTGCCTTTAAGAATCTCTCTTGTGTAGCTTTTTCTTCCCCATTTCACCCATGAGAGAGGTCGTCCACTCTTACTGGCTCCTGCCTATTCTGAGTCAGGAGCAAGACCCTTGGAAGGAGCAGTTCTGGGCCTACAGAGTTGAGCCTTCTTCCCCAGCTCTGCTCACCTTGCACAGAACAGGCTGACAAGACTCCTCCTCATGGGCAGGACCTGCTGTGTGGCCTGAGTCTTGAGCACCACCAAGCCCTTGCTCCTTGTAGATCCTAGACCTGAAACTTACTAAAAGCATCCTCTTTAGAGCCCAGCTCCCAAAGAGACTGGCTGTCACAGAGTACAGACAGAAAGGTGTTTTAGTTGAAGGAAATTCCACACCACAAATAATCATTTGAATTTAACTGGGAAACTTCAAATATAATTTGTGATTCTGAAGTTTCTGTTCCTTCTCTTATTGATGCAAACAATGATAAGACCCCATCACAAAAATAAATAAATAAATAAATTTTAAAAATATAGACTCCAGGGATGTCTAGGTTTATAGCATTACCAACATGTTCTTTTAAACAGCTTTGAAGGAGTTGATGAATGACTAAGTGTCTTCTGTTACACTGTTTTATGTCATAGACAACTGTGGTCCTTTGGCTATTAAGAAACCAGAGACCCCACATGTGGGAGAAGACACATTTTCCAAGTCCTGCTTTGGACATGTATAAAACATTCTTTATTAAATTTCTATTTTGATTGCAGATTCATTGGGGTATTGCTTCATGTCCTTCATTTAAAAATTAGGTTTTGGAGCAAAAGTGGGAATATAATGTTATATCACTACAATTCAGTTTTGGTGCAATATGTTATAGAAAATTGTGCAGAGAGTTTCTAGTTTGGCTCAGCATTTCCTATATAAAGACAAATTTATTTCTGAGGCATCCTGACCCCACCACCATCATTCATTTCACCAACACATCTTTCAAAACAGCATTTTTAATCATAATTACTGCATTTCCTGTCGTGCAATACTGATTTTTGAAAGCCAGCAGAGGTAGGAGGATTTCCTGAAGGTTTGTTTATGTTTCCATAAAATTTCTTTTTTGTGTGTGGTTTAATTAAACCAGAATGGTAAGTAAATTTTGACAAGCATGCTGGCTTTTATCATACAGAAAATGAAGTAGGACTTCTTGCCAATTTTGGTCTGTTAGCTTTGGGGACCTTGAGATTCTTCAAGCAGCTGGGGTTTGTGGCCTTAAATAGGCCTGTCTCCATAAGTGGTTGGAGATGTGCCTGGGTAAAGGCTAAAGAGGCCTGAGAAGCTCAATCACAGAATCAGTTTTACCAAAGTGAGGGATGCAGTATATACCTATTAAAATAGCAGCCTGGAAATGACTGTCTCCCTCCGATGTGAAACTGGAAAAGACGCCATGTTGAAAGCAATATCCCCCATGAATATACAAAAGGTAGCATTCCTTCACCTTGCCAGCCTCAAAACCAAGTCAATACATACAACAAAATAATTTGACTACTCCTTTCAAGGCTAGCCTCACACAAACATCCCAATGATTTGTCTCCGTTAACACCTGGCAGTTTTTATCACCCCTGCTCTGGGAACCTGCCTACCTTTCTTTACTTGGCCCACCATCAGAATCCTCCCACAACAGAAGACCCAGAAGACTATTCTCAAAAGAACATAAGTGGGTGCAATAAGTTTGCTAGAAGGACAAGGTATCAATAAGGAAAGAAATCTCTTGTTATTGGAATTTCAGGCTTTGGTATAGGACAGGGTTTTTTAAGAGAGGTTGTTAGACACTGTATCTTAGTGGCTCTTTCCTAGAGTTCCCTGAAGCCAACTTTATCCATATCCATCCAGCTGAAAAAGCTCATGAACAGAGAGAGAAACCAGTGGATCAGTGTTCCTTACTTATGACTCGATATTTGAGTTCAAGCAATAGAATTGTTTATTCTACCAAAATACGATTTCCTGACCTAATAAAGCAATTAGAAATAAATCATTAATGTTCCTGATCAGAACTCATTCTTACCAACTTTTTCAAAGTGGTTTAAAGAACTCCAAAATACCCTAGAATGTTGTTTTTATTTTCTTACAAAAGTAGTAGAATTATATAATGGTTACAAAGAGCAACAGAATCAAATTCACCAATTTTTAAAAAAATTCCCCTCATAGTGCTGGTAATATTTAGTAATATTAAGAATAATTTTTTATGTTTACTGCAAAACAAATTATTCCTGACCYTMTCAGCTATTATAATTTTTGTCTTTACTTTTCAAAATGCCAGTCCATTCTAATAGTYATTAAAATATATTCTATTTTGTTACCACAAATTCAGTGTCTGAATTTGTTACTAATCAATGTCACCATAATGTATCTCTTCAAAGAATTCAGGCGGAGAAAAAAAATGATAGCATTCTATTAGTAATTCTTCCAAAGAAAATTTTAAATTCAACACAATTTCTCCAGAACCATTTTTTTTTTTTTTTTTGGTGATTGTGCTGGGGATTGAACCCAAGGCCTTGTGCATGCAAGGCAAGCACGCACTCTACCAACTGAGCTATATCCCCAACCCCAGAGCCATTTTAAAAAGAAATTTATGTCCATAATCTAATATTTAAGATTGACTCAGTGATAACTGAGCATAGACTACATCCACTCAACCTCATAGGTGATTTGCAAATTCTAAATCCTCAGAATGCACTGATTGTAAATTATAAATTAATCTGCTTTAAGAAGATCTCCTGATGAAAAAAAAAAAAAAAAAAAAAAAACCTTCCTTTTTAATGTAATTCCCACACAGTGATTTAGAAGATGTGCAGCTGAAACATTTTGTGAATCTCAATTAGAATCACTTAAAAATTCAATTTGCAACCATCAGTTATTAATGATTATGACTATTAAAACAATGATTCCAGCCAGGCTCAGTGGCACACACCTGTAATCCCAGCGGTTCAGGAGGCTGAGGCGGGAGGATCACTAGTTCAAAGTCAATCTCAGTAACTTAAGGCTSTAGACAACTCAGTGAGACCCTGTCTCTCAATAAAATACAAAAAAAGGGCTGGAGATGTAGCTGAGTAGTTAAGTGCCCCTGGGGTCAATCCCTGATACCAAAAAAAAAAAAAAAAAAACCAAAAAAAAAAAACTATGATTCCTTCTTGTTTTTATTATAGCTGAATAATACAAATATCATTTATTTTTGTATTCTGCTTGTTATGTAGTATTTAAATAATCAACTTTAGATAACTTGAACATTAAAATGTAGGTCTGACCTATAAATGTTAACAGATTTTCATCCAGTTCATGAATATTATAATCTTCCATGAATGTTCTTCATTGTGAGTTTCGAAATGTTATTTGGGTAGTATCATTCCCATAAAAAGACCTAAATTTTTCTATTGACTTTACATGCTTGCCAAAGATTTACACTACTTAAAATGCTAACAAGAATAGAAATGTTAAAAATAAAATGAATATTGCACTGTGTTCGATTTCACAAAGATGTAAAAAAAAAAAAAATTAAAACACGCTTGTCCTGTTTAAGGTTTCAGGCTCTGTATAACTATACTCCTAGGAATGAAGATGAGCTGGAACTCAGAGAAAGTGATGTCATTGATGTGATGGAAAAATGTGACGATGGATGGTTTGTAGGTACGTGTACATTTCTTTTCAGACACATCTGGCTGCAATTTGCTTGCATTTGCTCTCCTGCATGGTTCACTGTGATAGTCAAACCTTTGTTGAATTCATAATGTCTTTGAATCTTTCCTACATTCATATGCATTCTATAATCCCCATATGCATATACATATGTCCGAACCATTGCCTTTTTACTCTTTAGTCTTTACTGCTTCCAGTATGTGTGATTTTCTGCCAGTTTTTATCTCCGAGAAAATGAAAGGACTAAGTCCACATTTACAGCCCCAAGATTCTGATTCTATTTATAATAATTCCCATCCAGAAAAAAAAAAGTAAAATGGCTTGCCTTCATGGGGCAGGGGTTTAGGAGTGTGGAATAATGGTAACCAAATGAAGATGGTAAATTCTAAAGTTTAATGAGAAATGGAATTTGATAGACCATATTGACACTAATTGTGCTAGAAATCCTAAGTGAGCTTTTGGTGCATCAACTTTCACAAAAAAATCTCCAAGGAATCATGGTATTTGAAACCAAAGGTAATTATAATGATGCCCAATGACCGAAACTGTTCCCCCACCCCCACATAAACACACAAGTAGTGGCTAATCTTTTCYTTCTTTAGTGACTCTGTAAATTGTTCACATTTTCCATATTTTATTAAGGACTCTGGCAGTGCTTTGAGAATGAGATAATAAAGCTCTACTGGTATTGTCGGAGTCCAGATAATGCCTTAATTTGGCACCTGTGTTGAGGAAGCCTCTTGCACTTTTCCAGTTATCCTGTCACATTTATTTCTCATTCCTTGCTCTTGTTTAGCAGCATGGTGATGGGTTCCACCACCCACCTCCCCCACAGGGTGGTCTTTCCCCTTAGCTGAAGAGGCTGAGCTTTTCTTTCAAGCAAGCCTGGTGTGCCAGAAGCAATCACTGAGGCTTATGAGGCAATGAAAACATCAGGCAGCACAACTAAAATTGCTTGTTTTTTCTTCTTTTTGTCTTAAAGTGAGTTTTCTGTCATCCTTTCCAAAACCCTTCAGGGTTTTATCTCTTAGTGAAGCCTTGTAGGTTGAAAGCGCTCAAGTCTACAGATATGAACTGATATTTCCTTGTTGTCACACCTTTTTCATTTATTGCTTCTATTTTCAGGAACCTCAAGAAGAACCAAATTCTTTGGTACTTTCCCCGGAAACTATGTCAAGAGGCTGTGAATCACTCTCCCTCCTTATTTATGCCGCATTTCAGCAACACATCTGCATAAAACTTGCCTGAGACATCCCTGAAGGCCTCTCGTTGTCATGCCTTACAGTTTCCAATACGCCATCACCATCCCCACCTGCCACCACCAAACCACCAGCAGAGTAACTGCCACTGTGAGCCTTGGGGGGAGGTGGCAGACTTACATCCATGTGAAAGTGTATATTCCTGCTTTCTGCCCTAAACTTTGAAATGTCAATGTGTGGGATCAGAAAGAAAATCGTTTTTCTTAGAAAAGGTAAAATATTGAAGCCAAAAAGAAAGTGTCTCCAGGATGCTCTCTGGTCTCAGTTGTACTTGGAAATTTCTGAAAGATGGTCTCCCCTGGGGCAACCAGAAGATTGCTTATTCCTAAATGCTGTGGTTTGTATTTTCACATTCTTAGATTGGCATTCTATTTTCCTTTCACAAGTTTGCCTAGTGTCCTGGTTTACACTATATGACAACTGTACTTCAGCTATCGTTTGCCTGCACTTATATGTTGTTATATGCACAGTGACTATAAAATCTAAAGCAAGAGTAGGAAAGTTAATTTGGATGGGTGTGATTTTGTTGATTGAATGTAAGTTTTCAAATAGGAGTCTTTTCCTGCAATTTTTTTTTTGTACTTTTTAGAAGTGCAAACAGTGAGTGAATAAGAGCCTTTGGTAATTATCATGAGAATACAAGAGGATTAGCTAGGCTAAAAGAAAAAAAAAACATTGTGTTGTAAAGTTGCATTGCTATTTTATATTAAAATGTAATCATCAGCATCATGAACAATGAGCTCTTAGTGTTTTATTTATCTGATAAAATTTAAATGAAAGCAGTGTTAGAGGTACAAAGAACTATTCTAATATAGACACTTGAAAGTATCTGTAAGCAATATTAGTAGGTAAGATTTCACTGTGTGTACACAGGCGCATTTGAGATTGTATGAGAACATATAATCCATATGATATGTTGTACATTTTATGGAAATGTAAAAGAATCCCACATATTATTTTATAGAGATAGAGTACTTCAGAAGCATCACAAGTATTAAGGCTGGTTTTAGCAAGGATTATGATCAATACAATTATTTTTACTATAGTAATTATTTTTCTTCAGTGGAACCCAGAATCCTGGCTATATTTGAGAACAGGAATATGTTGAGCCTGATTTTCCTGGTATGTGTAAAATACTTCCTAGGAATAAATTAGGCACTTTTTAGAGACAATGTTAAATCATTCAGGTAATATTTTTGCCCTAAATTTGCAAAATTACATTGGACCTGAAAGATTTAATAGGGTTAACAGTGCCTGAATTACACATACCCTGAGAACTAGCTTTGTATTTCTTATGACTTTGCATARGAACTATTCATCTTTGGATCTTGAGCACCTTATAAACAAAACTTTTTATGGCATTTCTTCCGTGGACAATGATTGATCTTTTCACAATACATAGACTCTTGAATTTTGTACATATGTTTGTTCTTTTTTTGTACAGACTATTTAGTCATTGAGAAAGCAGGGAGATTTCCTAATCTGATCTTTATCCTGCACTTAAACTTTGCTAAAACACTTTCAGCAGAATACCCTTTACCTATCTCACAGATCACACCCCTTGATAGTGTGATTCTGTAAGGTAGCACTTATGCAAAACTTTATGAGTTTAAAAGATCTTAGCAGCCAAATTGAAATGTACATAAATAATGATTACAGAGGAATTTCTTTAGGAAGAAAGTAAAGAAGCATTTTTGAGTAGACCACCTTGATTACCATCAAGTTCACAATCAGCTTTATACTTTAAAGGTTTGGGGTTTGAAATTAAGTCAACTGCATGCAGATTTGCTGATAAATGAATAATTCTCTTTGATGCCATTTATGAGAGAAGACTTCAATATCTGTTGCCTGTCATATTTAAAAAAAAAGTACTGTTTCTACTCTGTATCTGATTTTAAAAGGAAAAATATTCATACCTGGATTTCAGGTAATTGACTTTGAATTCTTACAAGCAGAGGTCATTGTGTTTTTCTTGAGTAGACATCTAATAAATTTTGCTTGGAAGTATACTTCAGTTTTTCTTTTTGACATTTATACCTACCTAAATTGCGTATTTTATTTCCTGTTGCTAGTTAAAATATAAGAAAATTCATTTACTCTGTGTTCTCTTGACACACAAATGGAGAAAATATGTGTTAGCATCAGCTCAGAGAAGAAGTATTTTTAAACCTACCATTAAAGCTCATTTGCTAAATACCCTTTGGCTAGAAATTACTCTTTAGTTTAAATTATACATTTTAAAAGATTTCTGCCTCAGAACTCACTGTTTGTCCAAGGACAAGTTAATCACAGGAAGTGTGACTTTCCCAAGTCAACTATCTTCAAATTTTTGAATTCTTGCCCTAAACATCTGTAGCCACAGTATGGCAGCCACCGTTAATACCCAAAGGCTTTCCTCAAATTTCAAACTATGTGCTACAGTGGAATCAACCCTTTCTGCCATACAAATAGTAAGAGCTTTCCTACCTGGATCCTTTCTGTATACCTCAGTCCCTTCTTGGTCTTTGTCAGAAACTTGGACATTGCTCTCTTTACAACTCAATTATCAAAACACGGTGCTGCCTTGCTTTATCTTAGTTCCCACACTAATCTTCTCTGTTCYATTGGATAATTTTCACCGATTATTAACTTTCTACTAATGTATGCTCTCTTTATGTGAAGAATATGTCACATAATATTCTTATGATCCTGTTTTCACCTGTGCATTTGTGGGAATTTAACTAGATAAAACTGCATCTACCCACCCAGGTCAGCAAACGGGCAACAGGAAGAGACCCTCTGATATTTATGTGCCAAATGTTAATCCCTGCCTTAACGACCCCATCATTGAAAATAGGCATGTCCGTGTCTTACTTGATCAAAAGCAGAATCGAGTTGAGTAACCGTCTGTTTTCATAACCATTCACTGCTTGCTCTCTTGGTAGGTGGTCAGTTTGTGTGGCCTGATAATTTCTTCCCACTGCTTCCCAGATTTCAGCCACAAAGGGAGATATTCTTTAAAGATTTATTTGACTAAATCAGACTAAGCCTTCTGTCGGCTTCCAAGAACGTGTTTATTTAAATTTATAATTATTTCAGCCTCCTCTCCAGATTGTACCCTTCTAACAGTTGTTTATATATCAGTTGCAATTTCAAATTATTTACTCATCATTGATAATTAGGATCAGAACACAAGCAGAGATTGGAATTATTAATAAATTATCTGTAGGAGGAATTGGCATACTATAGCTTGAGGAGAAAATTCAGACCTCTGTTTTTTTAGATTCCCTGAAAGTTAGGAGTGGTTTGTACAGATGAATACTGGCCATTAACTTGATGTTAGGGAACACTAACTTTGAACCCTAATTAAAATATTATCTCCTAAGAAAGAATTTCTTTATTTTTATTAGTAGGTCTATATTAGAAAATATTTTTAAAAGAAGCCACAGAAAAAGAAAGTATTTTACTTTGTTTTTATGATTAGACTCTTAATTTCATCAATAATAATTGGCAGAGATGTATTTTCTCCTTGTTATATAATAATGTACATAATAACCTCAATTTTACCTTCTAGTACACAAAAATCTAAAATGTTTACTCTCTGTCCTTTTACAAACTAAGTTTAGGACTTCTTGGCCTATGATAATTGTAGGCAACAAACCTAGAAACTGACTAGAGGTAAAGGAATATTGAACAGTTGCTATCTACCAAGCTGTTACTTACATGCATTCTGTGTCTTTATCGTCACAATAAATCTAAGAGGAAATACACTTTGTGCCTATTTTAGAGAGGTATAAACTGAGGCTGCAGAAGGTTAAATAATTCATCATATATGTAAGATATTACAATACATGATGGAAATTAGATTCAGAATCTGATGTATCTGTCTCCCAAGCCTCTGCTCTTTCTTCTTAAACAACCCATGCTTGGTGCTAAACACACTGTTGATCAAACTGTGCACACAGAGTTAAACAGCTACATTCAACCATTATTCTCCTCTACCAAATTCTGCTGTCACAAATAGACAAATAGTCCTCTCCTCATAACAGCATCTTACGATGTACAAGATGACAAGAAATAAATATGTGCTCAATCAAGCACAAAGGGCTTCCCTCAGGGGAACTTTGAYTTCTAAAAGTACACAGTAACCAGACGATACAATTCAGTTCCTGGCGTGTTTTAACAGAGCATGACTGCCCGTGAGCTGTGATTCCTTAAGGAACTAGACTCTGTGAACTTCATGGAACCAGCTGGGCCACGGATAGTGCTTTGGGGAAGTATTTGGTATTGTTGAGCCACTTGGAGACAGGCAAGCTGAGGGTGCTCTAGGAACACGATGTGCTTGCTGGACAGCTTTTAAATATACAAAGCCCCAAGATACACCAGCCATTCTCTGCCAGGTGACTCGCTAAGTGACCCAGAGCCTTAGCTCACTGCTAAATTCAGCCCATCAGGAGCTCAGGAAAGTTCCATCTGAGCTCATACACATACATTTATCTTGACCCAAAAAGCTTTCAGTACAAGACAAGAAATCTGCCTAGCAAATCTCCACCTGTTCCTTTGGGGTTTCTTGTTTCATCCTTTCCCCTAAAATATGATGGGTGACTCAGTTGTCCTGTGTCTTCCAAAAATAAGTGCCATTTCAAATAAAACTCTTGTTACTATTAACAGCATCAGTGAATGGGTGCCATAGCTTGCACTGATATTTCAAGAAGCTTGACAATGACTTTTAAATCTTTTTTTCCTTTTTTTTAATGGCACAAGCAAGATGCTTATTGTTAGAAAAATTAAAAAATATAAATGGCAAAAAGAGGGAAAAAAACCACTAAGAGTCCCATTTAGGTAAGGATTACACTTTATAACATATCCCTCCAAAATATTTTTCTGCACATGTGTGTGTATGTGTGTGTGTGTGTGTGTGTGTGTGTGCGCGTGCGCATGCGTGCGTGCACATGCATGTGTATATGGAGTGTGTAGACAAAACTGGGATTATCCTGACTTTACTATTTTATAACCTGCACCTACTCTTGAGCAGAATTTTGAAACAAAGTGAATAAGACAACTTGACATCACAAAGTCTAAATAAAAAAATGAGAAAAACTCAAAGTTAAACCCCAGGATTCATGAAATTGGAATTAATTAAAAACCACAAGGTAAGAATTTTGGAATTACCACAAGCTAGCAAATACAATGTAATCCAAGGTATTTGTAGAAAAAGAGAAAGAGAGATGAAGGGAGAAAAGAAAATATTAGTCATCATCTCACAGAATGCTTTAGGCATCTTTTGAGCAAAGGTGTAGCTAAAAGAAGAGGGAGAACGAAATTGAGAAATGTGTGAACTCCAATTGGACCTGACATCCAAACATCCTGGAGTCCACAAAGTGCACACGTTTTGAATCAATATTAACAGGACAGATAATGATTTATTTTGAAAGATATATCCTAGAAAAGTCAGATATAAAATGTTGATAAGATTTTGACTCTTCCCTACAGAACATTTGAAAAGTTACGGACACATCTGTGGTTATCACAACTGGGGGTGCTCTTGGCAACTAGTTGGTAAAGGTCAGGGATGCTGCTGACTTCACAATATGCAGAACAACTTTCACAACTAAGAATTATCTAGCCCCAAAGTCCATAGTGTTCAGGGTCAGAGGCTCTGCTCTGGAATAACTCGATTTAGGATAATTATATTGAAAATCATATTAGGAACATTTTTAATTCCAAATAAAAGAGCCAAGAACCATAACCCTAATGTCCATCTTCTGTCCTGTGATTAGCAGATGAAAATAGTCCCTCTTACCAAATTCTGGAAATAAGGTCTGAATACATCTACTAAGGAGAAGATACATGATGAGGTAAAACTACATGAAAATTACAGTTAAATGTTCATCTCTGGAGAATGACTCTGGGCAAAAATGGAAACTGTGGAAGCATCTATGATTCATGCTCATGCCAGCCCAGAGCAGAGGGCCTGTTCTTTCCTAGGGTGACCCCAGGGATGATACCGTGATTCAAGAGATATGAGCGTGGAGTAAGATGAGTTCAGTTATTAGGAAGCTCTGCTGGATGGGAAGAAAGACTCCATTTCCTTCCAGAAGACTCCAATCTCTTCTTATAAGGTACTGATGACAAGACCAGCCGGCCTCTGACTGAGAACTTTGACCATGCCACCTAGTCAGACTTAACTTGGGATATCCAACCGTTACCCTCCAATCACTCATACCATCTATAACAGGAAGGTCACACTTATGTTCCTAGTGAATTAGGGTAGGAATCTTCTCATCTCTAGATAAAGCTATAGAGTAATAGTAGCTGTGCATTTAAGTACAAATGCAGAAGCTCAGTCCTTGTTTTGGCTGAATTTTCCCTTCCATAAAATTCATATGTTGAAGCCTTAATGGAATACCTCAGAATGTGACTGTATTTGGAGATAGAACCATTAAAAATGTAATTAAAGCAAAACAAGAGTTTATGGATGGGTCCTAATCCAATATGACTAGTGTCCTTATAAAAATAAATCAAAACACAGACATGTACAAAAAGAAGACCATATGAAGACACTGAGAGAATACAGCCACCTACATGCCAAGAAAAAATCAATCCCTCTGACCTGGCCTCTGACTTTTAGCATCCAGAATTATGAGCACATAAATTTTCATCATTTAAGCCACCCAGTCTGTGGTCCTTTGTTATAGTAGCCCAAGTTGATAATACAGTCAATCTTTATTTTAAGATCATCCATTTCCACCCACTCCTCTTCTTCTCCCCTGTTCTCAGTGGACGACATATACAGAAAATCTATTTTGTTCCAAAGGGTGACAATGGCTAAAATTGCCCCTCCTCCCAACTCATCCTTAATTTAAAATTTACACATAAAAATAAGATATAACTGGGGATCTGTTGAGCAGTTCAGTTTGTACCTCCACAGAGAAACCACACCTCTTCTCTCCTATATGTGCATGCACACACACACACACACACACACACACACACACACAGAACATTCCTACAAAACACAAGTGGTATA